CACGCTCTAAGCCAGAGAGAAAACACTGACAACAGGTACATGCTGACACTTCATAGTCACTGGCTATAGCTACAGAATGGACAGAAGCACCTTGCCAAAGACTGGGGCACAGAGCAGGCCACCTCAGGAGATCCAGTTACTCCAGGTTTCAGGCTGATCCCACAACATCCCACAAGCTGGATGTTCACATATGCATTAGCTCATTCTGCAAATGTATTATTTCAGGAAGTCCCAGTTCTCCTGATCAAGGGATTGAGGAATGAAAAATAAATCAAGCAATGCAAAATTTATTAGACACAGCAATTAGATCTTTCCCTTCACATAAAAAATTGCCACACTGCATTTATCAGACTTGCCACTGAAACAAAAAAAAAAAAAAAGCTTCAACATTTTATGACATCTACAACCAAGGGTACTTAACATTTATAGTCACCACAGGCATCTATACAGAAATTTCTCATATAAATTAAATCATGAAGTCCAGATGCAGCCATTATGAGCCTTTTTTTAAGGGGTGGGAATGTTTTGTTTTCTAAAATCAAATGATTTCTGCAATCCTGGAGCGCAATGAGAAACTTGGCATTTCACCGAGACAATTTAGCAAGAAATACACATATGGATAAGTTAACAAAACAGAAATTAAGCAGAAAGAAATGCAGCACTACTAATGTGTCAAATTACAAAGCCACTGGATCTGTTCATTTAAAGCCAAACCTATGCTTGGCCATTGCCTGACCAAGTTTTAGACAGAAGTAGTTCAGTTTGCTCGAGAGGGCAACTCAAAGGTCATAGGAGGACAGCCTGCAGGGAAGACTAACAGTTCTTCCTATTCAAAAAGGTCAAAGACATATTCTAGCATTAACTTTGAAAAACTGTGTCAAATACATCAATCTCTTTCCAGACTTTTCTGTGGAAGAAAAAGGACATACTAAAGGCAAATTTATCTACCTTCTGTTTGTAAAGAGTCCCTCATGAGAGGCCTGTTCTCAAAAGCCCCGCCCACTCTGGTTTTTAGTTTGCAACGTTAGTTACTGGGGAAGTGCTGAAGCAGATGAATGTTTCAGATGGAGGAAAGCTGCATGTGATAAAGTCTGCGGCTTTTAAATTACTTCATCCTTTTTGACTCCATAGAGGTCTTTGAAGTTAACCTCTGGTTCTGGATGAAGTGTGGAAAAAAACCTTGTGATCTCAGTCTGTCTTCAGTGTTTCTATGTACCAGGAATTAGGAGACTAAAATCCCAAAGATCAAAATTATTTCTCCCTTCTGTCCCCCCGGTTTCTTTCAACTATATTTCCCACTGTAGCTTCAATCTCAGAAATGTCCAGACATGCAGGCTTTCAACAACTAACCTGCCTCTGAATTTAAAAAAATTAAGTGTAGTTTTTTCTTTTTTTCTCCCCATTCCCAAACAATCTTTCATGTGGGTAAAACTGCAATCAATGGTTCCAAAACATCCAACAGGGAACAGAGAAATAATACTGCCAATGTTTTCTCCTTTCACCCTTGAATTCTTTTAACAGCTTTGATACAGAAAAGCATCCTCTGGGCTTCAGAGGAAATCCAACAAGTGTGTGCATAACACACAGGCAGCATCCAGACCCAGGTGCAGTGATTCTGATCGCACAGAACAGTCTCATTTATATCTAGAACTCACATGAAACTAAAGCTCATCTCTAGCATTAAAGCAGTAGAAAAATATTTAAGAGGAGCCACTCTTTCAAAACTAAACCAGTTTTACTCCAGGCAGGTATGTTCTGCACTGCTTATAGTGAACATAGTTTTAAAAATACCATTCTACATGCAAATAATGCTATTCAAAAATCAGCAAACATACTCATGAGTTTGCTCAAGCCAGTAAGCACAATTCCACAGAAACTACAGACTGTAAAGCCACAATTGCAGTTTGGCTGCCAAATTCACCAAGAAACTGGAAGTGACCTAACAGCTGTTCAAATAACCACAAAATATTAAAACACTCTAGCGAGAGATAAATTTCATCTTGAATAAGCCTATCCTCTCTCCAACAGACATTGGTTATTTGTCTATGACCACTCTATACAGACAGCTGTTTTCTCATCTGACTACCACACTATATTCTCAGTTCTCCATACACCCCTCAAACAATCTCTAACATTCTACTTACGGGTAATTCATTTTTGAAATGAGGAACGATGTGGTAAGAAGTCCTGGTGCTGATATGGTCACCTTCTGAAGTTAAACACTACCGGGTCAGAGTATCAGATAGAAGAAAAATGTTTAAGCATGAACTTAAAGTCTGAGCATCAGGTCCTTTATATCTGGAGCTCTGCTTTCATATCAACATTAATTTTCATTACACAAAATTCAGACAGGCACTTTTTAAATGCTGGAAATCTAAGGATTACAGTAACAGGCTGAGAAAAGCCCAAGTCAAGTCAACTGAATTCTGGCTATTGTTAATAAATTTCCCAACACAAAAACTAACATAAAATGATGACTTGGTAACACTTCTTAAATCGGACTGGAATTCTTTCCACACATACAGAAAGATTTACCTGACCCTTATGCAGACATCTGCATCAGAAATGGTAACGTGAACTCATTTTAGAGTCAATGGAAAGCAATATATATTTCTGCAGCACTCTAGGCCTCAACCTAAGACAGAGCTCTAGAATAAACCATATGATTCTTCCAAGGGGCTACCAGGAAAAATGCAAACTATTAGTTCACAGGTAAATTTACAAAATTATATGAATCACACACAACCTTTCAACAGGCCTCTCTAAAATTATGAGCTCTATTTTGCTCAGTGAGGGTCAAAATTAAATATATACAATATTATAGTATCCCCAAATTCAACTGAAATTTAAAGCTAACCAAGCTGATTAACAGATGCATTTATACCAGCACGGTATAAAGATTTTTTTTTTTTCTGTAACGGAAACCACAGAGGGAGCTTGTAAGCAAAACCCATGTAAACGTGCACAACTTATAAATGCTTCACGTCTTGCTTAAGAGTATTCAAGCGCTGTACGAGACATTTTGATTTACTGTCTCACTTTTCATTATATTACACACATTTTTTATACATAAAATACACCCTTGTCTGTACACAAATCACCTTTTCACATGGATTACCACCTGCACCTCTGATTTTCTCAGGAGACAAAGAGGCCTATATTTGCTCAATTTCAGTTTTTAAGCCCTTCAGAATGGCTAGAGTAGAAGCTTAGGTATTACCTCAAATACTGCTGTAGGTTGTCTCTTCTGAAAATTTTACTGATTTGCCTCCTTTCAACAACACATATTTACTGGCCAGACAATATTTGTATTAAATATTCATAACCTAAGCTCTCCAAACCCCAAAGAAACCATGCAAAGAATCTTATCCTCTAAAAGAATTAAATTAGGTCTGATTTTAAATATCTATTTCAAAGTACATGCAATGCCTCGCTGTAGCAGGGAGTGCCATCCATCACAACTCTCATCCCAGACCGCTGACTCATTCAAGATCCTTTCCTAGAGGTTCAAAAAAATATCAAGGCATTGATGCCAAGTTTACTCTGTATGCCCTCTATATTTCCTCCATAGCAATTTTTCACTATTTAATTAAAAGCTCTAAAAAAGTGTATTCTACGGTACCATTTTCCGAACTAAGAATATTGAAACAAGGCATTGTCCTACGTGTAAACGGCAATTTGAACATTCAAACTTAGTGCTTGGTACCCTGGAGCCAACTTGTGTTATAAAAGGGAGTACCAAACAGAACAGCGGAAGGAATTCTGCTGCAACAACTGCAGAGGGCTTTTTTTTCCCCCTGCACACAAAGGACACGGGTACATCCATACCTCGACGCTACAGCCGCTCATGGCCGCGAGCCGCACCGTCCCCGAGTGCATTGCTGGAAGCTGCCCACCGGACTAAGCATGGCACGGGCCAATCAATCTTTTGTGCCCGACCAAGATTCGTCCCTTTCTTCTCTCCCTATTCGCTGCTAAAAAGAACTCGGTTGATTTTTGACAACCAGTACACAAGCAGACCTCGAGCTTTTAGGGCGGCCGGTTGACTCATCTCTCGCACCTTAAGAATGTAAAAGGGTTTCGTTCTTGCGCCGCGTATCCCAAACGAGAGCAGGAGACCGCCCGATTCCATTTTATCTGCCCTAAAGGCAACTCTCACCCTTGCACACAACCGCTTTTAACGCTCGGTTTTCCTACGGAACTTTTAAGGATACCACAGGATGGGTTACCCGGGACGATAGCCCGTATTAAGGAGCTGGGAAGTGGGATTACCCCTTTGTTTTATTCGCTTTTGCCTTTTTCCACTGGCGTTCTGCGGGTGATGGATGACAGGCCGGCCTCCCCGCCCTGCCCCCCTCGCCCTCCCCCGATGTCTGAGCAGCGGGAGGAGGTGCGGCCGCCTCGACCCACCGATAATGGCTGCGAGGAAGGGATCGATCGGGCCCCGCCGACTGCCGACCCCAGCCCCACCTCGGTCGCACCCCGCTCCCCTGCCGCCCCCAGCGTTTCCGCAGCTCCACTCGCCCCTGCGGCTCTCCTTGCCATATCTAAGCACCCGTGGTACGAGGAGGAAAAAAAAAAAACAAAAAAAAAAAACCGGCCTCCTCCTTTCCTAAGATCGAGCTTCCCCCCAGCAGCACTCCCATCCCCCACGCCGCTCGGGTCCCTTTCTCCAGCCTCATCTCACCCCCCCGCCTTCACCGACCCCTTTCCTATGGCCACCCGCCCGCATCGGCTCAACCCGGCCCCCCTTCTTCCTCCCCGTCCCTCCTCCTCCTCCCCCCTCCTCTCCTGCTGCAAACGGCCATTTCTATTGTGTCTCTCGGTGCCAAGCCGAGCAGGGATCGCCCCGGCCGCTGCCAGCCGCACAGCCCGGCAGAAAATGGCTGGAGGGGGACGCCAGACCCACCCAACCCCCTCTTCCTCCTGCCCGCTTCCCGGCCGCCTTCCCGGCCCCCTCCCCGCCGAGCTGCCCCCGGGGGGAGCGCCGCGTCCCTCACCTGTGGTGAGCCGGGACGACACCTCTCCGAAGGGCGAGGGCTCCATGCGCAGGTATTTCTGCGGGGAGGAGGCAGCGGCGGCGAAGGAGGAGGAGGCGGCTGAGGCCGGGGCTGACAATGGCGCACATCGCCTTCGCTTCGGTGACGCCGGGCTCAGCAGCGGGTCGAAATCCAGAGTCCTTTTCAAAGTGGCGCCGCAAGCCATGGCGCGGAGCGGCCAAGGGGGCTCGGAGCGAGGGGCAGCGGTGGAGACAGCAGCAGCCGGCCCTGCCCAGAGGCGTCCTCCCCGCTGTCTGGAGTGGGCTGGGGGGGAGGGAAGGGAAAGGAGGGGGCGGCTGCGTCAGGGCCGCCTCCACCGCCTCCCCGCCGGCCTCTCTCTAGGGAGCGCCCCGGCAGCGGCAGCAGCAACCCCGGTTCAGTCCGGCTGGATCTCCGCTCTCCTCGCCCGCTCCGCCCTGCCCGGCCGGGACAAATTCCGCCCGCGGCCGGTGGCGGGACACGAGGAGTGCCGAGGGACGCGGTGCCGCTCCCAGGTGCGCGGTGCGGGGAGGCCGATGCGGCGCGATGGCGATGGCAGGGCCCAGGCGGCGGCGATGGCGGCGGCGATGGCGCTCCCGGCCGTAACCCCCGCACCAGCAATATGGCGTCAACAACAACGCCGCCGGTTCAAACGCCAACCCCCCTCGCCGCAGAGGCTCACGGGACTCGTGGTTTTCCCGTCCTGGCCCACGCCACTCAAAGACAGGATGGACTCTGGGGAGCTGGGACTACAGCTCCCGGCGTGCACCGCGCCGGCAGGGTAGGCTTCCGGGTTCTGGTTTAAATCCCCCCTGGGAGGGTGCGGGCTGGGGTGTGGATGGGGACGCGGTGGGATCTCGGGAAGGGCCGGCAGGGCCCCTCGGAACCTGGGGACACAAAAGGGGCGATGCTCCTGTCCTGCCCTGCCTCCTGACAGCGCAGGTGTCGAGCGGGCCGGGCGGCGGATGTACGTCCGCGTGGCTCTTGTCTGAACGTGAAATCGGGGGCAAAGTGCGTTTAGTGGCCTCCATGGTGAGGGTAGAGCAGGGAGGGTGCGGGAGTCCGAGGTGACAGCTAAGGACACGCATGGAAAGGCCTCACGACGTCGGGATCTGTGTCACGGCGTAACCCAGTGGTTTCCTTGCAGTTGCATAAAGCACATTCTTGCTTAAGGAGGGTTGTGAGGGGAGAGGTTCAAAGAACTATGAAGCTGCTGCTGGGAAGAGTACAGCTCTTTCCTGTGCAGCTTCCTGATTGAAACAAACTGTGTTACAGGTCACCGCAGTGGGAAAGTTAACAGAGACTGATAACCCCCCCAAATACATGTAACTTTTAGGTTTTATAATAATTATCTAATATTGTTAATTTAACCATAAACATGAAGACATGTTGTCTTTGAAAGACAAAATTATAAATACGCTGTCATAAAGTTTTAACACTTTGGTGTTTTTTGATTGTGTTCTGAAGTGTAAGCTAGACTTTCTCTAATAGCATAAAAAATCCCCACAGACCTTACCATCCTTTGGAAGCAGGATTTGCTGTACATGTTTGGTGTTTGGCATATATTGTTAATTAAGCCATAGCGGCACCCAGTCACAATCTGATTGTGCTGGCACTGTGGTTGTGCTGCTCTTGGGGTAGCTGAGGTTTCAGCTGGTGGGGTGACCTAGCAGAGCCTTCCTTCTCAACAAATTATTTGTTTTCTGAGACAGATAGCTTATGACAACGTTGGTGCAAGCCTTGTCCTAAAATTAATACTGGAAAATTGCAGAATGAATCCTCTGCTGTGAGTTGTTCCTCCAAAGAGGAAGTACTTGAAGTGTTTCCTTTGAAATAAGGATGGTGACAAGCTTTTCTAAAACTAAGACAAGTTCTGCTTCTTTGCAGCAAGATTCAGGAAACGTCCTGATGTTATTACAGTATTACAATTGTCCTACTATTAGTGTACTGGTATAACTACTTCTGTGGATACTCTTCTTTGGAATAATGCTGGCAGGTTTTCCATTAATTTAATTCTTCATTTCCATTACATTTCCCTAAGCATATAGCTTTCCCTGTGTTTGGGCACCGGTGTTAAATACTCTTACCAAGCACTTAACCAAGCAAGACTAAGGCAAAATTGCTATTGCAGGCTTTGAATTAAGGGAGCCCCAAGTGTCTCTCAGTGATGTACCTGTTTAGTTTGGAGTGCTCTGTGCCTTGCTTCTGCCATCATTTGTGTGCTGAGAAGTGCCTGTGTGTGGGTGTGGTAGTGGAAAAAAAAAATGTTATGTTTCAGAGTAACCTGTACTTCCCCACTGTAATTATTATTTTAGATATATACTCTGCATTCAGCAGCAGAAGCAAAAATTTGGTGACATTAACCATGTATGCACTAGTTCCTAAGGACCACTCAGGCACAATTTAAATCAATTAAGACAGTCTGAGGAATCAGGTGAAACTTCATCAAGATAAGGTACTAGAAAATCAGCTTTTGCCAGCACAGGCAGCACTATAATTGTAAGCAATTGATTAGAACAGTGATTGTTCTAATCAACAGAGTTATTTGGCTTTTATCTGACCTTTAATTTGTTGAACTAAACTGAAGCAAGTCTGATTTAGGTCAAAATAAGAATTCACATAGCCCTTTGCAGCAAATTAAACCCAGACAAACCAACATAGCTTTGCATGTAGACAAGCCCTAAGGCAGTGAAATGTCCAACAGCAGTGACAAAGTGCTTGATGGTTGTCAGGGAACATGTGTTTTTACTTTCATTGTGGCAGGAAACACCATAGGGTCAAGGCTGCAAACCACTGTTTATATTGTTCTTTCTTCTACTTACTTATTATATAACCAATTTGCAGTGCCCCATTATGTGCTGCATGGGGTGCCTTTAAAATTATATATTATAAAAATATTTTTAAAATAAATAGTACCCACAAATTTTATTAATACTGGGAGTGGGAGAACTGATTCATAACTGGTGTTGTTCTGGATTTTATTGAATATGTACTTCGAGCATGACACCTGTTAAAAAGGCAAGTCCTGACTCAGGACAAGATTTGGACCTCTGTACAGCTCTGATTGAGGTGGGAAAGTAACCCTTTCAGTGGATTGCTTTGGGATGGTGATAGAAATATAGTGGACCAAATATTAGGCTTTGTACAGTCTCTTTTCTTCTTCCCCTTCCTTCCATTGCTCCATTTTTCTTTTTCTTCCTTTTTTTTTTTTTTTTNTTTTTTTTGGTCTTCCTCTCATTCTGTTTCTATACTATCTTGACTTTGCTTCATATTCCTTTTTCTTGAGACATCCTATTCATTTGATGCAGGATCACTGGCCCTATCTTTTCTTCTACACCATCTAATCATATTATTCTCACTTCACCTGTGGCTCATTTCTCATTACCAGTCATGCTTGCCAACATGGGACCACCAATTGGCTGAACAGTTTCTAGGGTTTGTTCATTTCACCACAAGTGAACAAAATTCACTTTAAGTGGTGTCATGCCACTTGAATTTGGACATGGATACCAAAGGCTTCTTATGTATTAGGCACATCCTGTGGTTGCAGATTTTGTGGACAAAATGCACTGGTGGTTATCTGCCATTATGTCAGTGAAGTGTTTGTATGGTGCCAAGTGAGAAGGGATTAGTTAAATTGAAAAAAATGGAGGTTAGTACAGGAATTGTAAGGTGGGAAAAACAGCTGAAAGAAAACTGGAATAAATTTCTCAGTCTGATTTGCTATATAGGAACACAGACAGTGCTGGCCAAAGGGAAAGGATACATGGGAACAGGAATGAAAGGCAGAGGTCAGTGAAGTTCAGCTCTGCTTCTTTAGATGCTGACTTATGCTCATAAACTGTACCAAAAATAATGACCTGAACCTGTAATATGCACTCACTTCCAATAGGACAAATTTCTTTCTTAGGTCTGAGCTACTAATGTATTGCCAACAGAAGTACAGAGGTATATTTCCCAATATAAAAGAGATTCAAAACACCTATTTCCTCTAAAATACTGTATATATTTCCACATATTCAGAAAAGATTAATTAAAACCAGAATCTGTATAGGAAAAGATAACTGAGCCAATTAGAATAATATAAAAGGGGGAAATTAGCCCCAGGATAGTAAAGTGTGGTTATTTAAATGTTATTATCTGTACTAATTGTTGAATTATATTATTTTTCACTAAAAGCACAAGGAAAAAATAAATTCAGGAGATCTATTTTAGTGATGAAAACTATGTTGATACAGGAACTGTCAGTTACCTCACCCAGACTGGAAATAAGAGGAGGATTTATTAGTGCCAGAGGAATGAGTTTCCAGAACACTGTTCCAGTGGCAGAAGTATGGGTAAAAGTAAACCTCAATCTTTAGTTGCTGGTTAGGTGTGCTTTAGGTAAGGCTTAGTATTTTTACAAAAAGGGTTTCTGTGGTATTGATGTTTTCAGTGACATGAGACTGCTAAGAATGACCCAGGAAGTTTTGCAATATAAAATGACAACAACAAAGTCGATGCGGAATGAAACATTTTACAGGTGTGCTGGTTTTGGCTGGGATGGAATTGATTTTCTTTTCAGTAGCTGATGTGGGATAAGTTTTGGATTTTTGACCAAAACAGTGTTGATAGTACAGGGATATTTTCATTTTTGCTGGGCAGTGCTCACATAGCATCAAGGTCTTTTCTGCTTGTTATCCCACCAATGAGGAGGCTGGGAGAGGACACAGCCAGGACAGCTGACCCCAACTGGTGAAAGGGGCATTGCACATCATATGGCATCATATGCATATAAAGCTGGGGAAGAAGTGGGGGGGGGCTAGAAATTCATAGTTGTGCTATTTGAATTTCCAAGTCACTGTTGGGTGTGATGGGGCTCTGCTTTCCTGGGGATGTCTGAACACCTGCCTGCCCACAGAAAGCGGTGAATGACTTCCTGCTTTGCATTGCTTGCATGCACAGCTTTTGCTTTCCCTATTAAAGTGTCTTTATCTCAGAAAACTCTTATAAGTTTTCTCACTTTTACCTTTTCAATTCTCCCCCATCCCACCAGGGGAGTGGCTGTGTGGTGCTCTTAGTTCCTGGCTGGAGTTAAAATGTGACAACTTGAAAGGATATGAAGCAGGAATAACCCATTTGAGTCAGTTCACCTATATTCAGAATAATATATTGAAGCTATAAAAAGAAAATTACTAAACTCACTGGTGTATATGCATGAATTGTGCTAACAGACCTGGATATAGAATAATTAGGAAGCACTGAATAAAATTTTGCAGCTCTGACTACTGCAATTACCTCAAAGATTTCAGGAAAGCATCAACTATCAAAGCATGGATCAGTACTATTTTCTATCTGTTGTTAGTCACGACCTTGTGTAGGATCACCAAAAAAAGTCATGGTGTGTAAGGAGGGCAGTGTCATAAGGTACTGGAAATGCTACTGCAACGTTAAGATTGCCTTACATCACTGTGTCCTGAATACCCTTACCCCACAAACATATTTTATACACAAACGTTTTACATTGTGCCTATCAGTTTTCTTCCTCCCTTTTACTATTGTTAAGAATTCACATTTTTAAACTTCACATATAATTTTCCTTGCTTGGATTTTGGACAAAACACTGCATCATGTTAAACT